ACGCAGGCGACACCTTTGGCTACGGCGAAGGACGCACGGAGCACGAACGCTCGTAAGGCGTAGCTAACGACGGAAAAAAACCGCGGTGCTCTTCCACCGCTGTTGGGGTCTGTTGCTGAGATAATGCGAAGGTTTGGAGACAAAATGTGTGGTCCGCATTAAATGCTATCAGTAGTGGAAGGAAATTCATTCATGCAAAGCCGTACCCGCGCACACCCCTCTAGTTTTGCTACATGTCTACTCCCAAGTGGGCTGCCAAAGCCACCCCTTACCCACTCGAACCCACTCTGCATCCTTTTGCATCTCACTTTCAGAGCTCCTGATCCCAAAGCTTTATCCGCGCGAAACCCTCAAGTGTTATCCCCACCCTCACGGCGGGGTTGTCAGGTTTTAAAAGTCCATGTTGTCCCCGCCCTCCGCGCGGAGACTGACTGCAGTGCTATGGCAACGTATCCCTGCAGTGCCTAACCGCAGAGTATCCCCACAGTGCCCAACCACCAGTATCCTTGCAGTGCCTAACCACTGAGTATCCCTGCAGTGCCCAACCGCAAACTATCCTTGCAGTGACCAACCACCAAGTATCCCTGCAGTGACCAAGCACCAAGTATCCCTGCAGCGCCCAACCCCCAAGTATCCCTGCAATGCCCAACCACCAAGTATCTTTGCAGTGAGCGACCGCAACGTATCCCTGCGGTGACCAATCATGACCAACCGCAACCGCAGAGTACCCGTGCAGCGCCCAACAGCAGAGTGTCCTTGGAGTGCCCAATGCCACAGTATCCCTGCAGTGCTCATGGCAACATATCCCTGCAGTGCCCAAACCATCAGCATCTCTGCAGTGCTCAATGGCAAAGTGTCCTTGTCGTGCCCAGCCTTTGCAATGCCGAACCCCACAGTATTTGCCCATGCAGTGCCAAACTGCAATATTCTCGCAGTGCATTTGCAGTGCCGAAAGGAAGACCGTTTAGGGAGGGCAGGGAAACATTACATTTCTTGTGCAATGACGGCTTCAGGGTGGGGATGCTCGAGGTAAATAAGTCACTTTGCATCTTCCGGGGGATCCCAAACCCAATTGTTTGAGTAGCATTGATGCGTCGTTCACGGAACCTTCAGTAAAAAGCGAAGGGTTGGTGCGCTATCACTTGAACGCTGCTGCGACGCTAGACAAAAAACATGTATGGCTTTATCTATCTACTAATATCCTATTGTGAAATGGCCCCTGAGGGGTGGGTTACGACCCATCAACACGCAACAGGTCACATCTCTTTGCAGCTTTACCAAGTATTTTTTTCTGACAGTTTGTCCGGTCGAAGCGTGAGTCGGGAAAAAGCGGGAGTTGTCGCAGCCTCCCGCGCAGAGTGGCAGTGAAGTACCTGCGCATGCATGAGCCCTAACTGGCAAACCTGAGCAAGAAAAGCCTTCGAGCCGTGGGAGTTCTTTTCATGCGGGCGCTTTAAGAGAAATCCGAGATTGGGAACATTACAAGGGAACATCGCAAGATGAGCGAGCGAACTGACACACCCTCGGTTGAACATCTCTGGCTTGCGCCCTTGGTCTCGTGCCCAGTCCCTGAAACCATACGCGGCGAGACAATATTTCGAATATGACGCAATGCCACAGCAATATCAGCTGCGCTGGCGTGAAACTGCTTCCAGTCTGCCTTATAGCTTCTGCTGCGACTTTCCGTCTCGTCTCCGTCTCGTCTTACCGGGGTTGGCGGCTTGAGCCGGAAGCTCTGAAAGTGCCGGCTGCTTCAAGTTCTGTTTGCCGAGGCCGGCGCAGAGGCAATGGGTTCAGAGCGTCCAGGCGGGAAATGTCGCCTAGCTGCACAATCCCTGCCAGTATCGACTAGTACATCCATGCTCATGCCACCGGGTTTGCTGCGAGCACCAACAATCCAAACACCGCTCGGATTGAATGCAGTCCAGCCATCTTGCAGCTTTGAGCTTAGCGTGGCGCTTCTGCTGGAATTCGAAGAAGCGCACGTCTTCTTGCGCTAGTACAAACCTGATTATCATGCAGGCTGTTTGTACAAGCACGGTTGACAACTGGGCTCCAAGGCTGTCATGTGTTCCCGCCTACAATATCCTGATGGTTCTTTCTGACCTCGCGCCGGACTACAAGTACCTGTTTTGCTCATGGCCCTCTTTGTGACAGCCACTGCCAGCCACTGCCATCTAGAAGTCCTGCCTGTGTTGTCAGTCAGGGTCCCTGCCTGGCGTGCAAACTGCACGCAACCCCGTCAGCCTTCCATTAAGAAGGGCAAGTTTCACATGAGAGGACGGAGTGGAGAGCGAGCTTGATGGAACCAGCACAGGGGCCCCGATTAGACTGTCTCACAAAAAGACTGCAGGAAAGTTTAATTTGAGGTCTTCACCCGACATCACGACATTAAAGTATGCAAGAAGCATGCCCCTGCTTCAAGCTCACTTCTGGTTCTGAGCTACGGAGAATTAACTACCTTCAAAGAAGTTTCCACAGCAAGCAGGCAGCTGCTAGCCGCGCACATTACGGCTGTGCCCAACTTGTACTCCTACTGATGCCTCTACCTCCCCTCGGCAGTTGCAGAAGCTTTAAGTAGGATTTGTTATACTTGTGCCTTCCTTGTTCGTGCTGCTTTCTTTTGTTTCCCTTAGCATCCTCTAACCGCATCAGGCAACGGGTGAGGAACCAGTCGGGAACCCAGGGTCGGGAACCCGACGGGGGCGAGTCGGGTGACGGGCTTTCAGCAGGGATCAAAGAATTTGACCTGGGATGTGAAACAACGGGGCGAGAATTTTAAAACACGCATCGCGCTCAGGGGAGCCTACGCATCGCGCACGCTCCTGGTCAGAAGCATGCGCGGCGATTCGAGAAAATCCTGTAGGTATTTGCCAAGGTTTGGGTAGGGATCCGCAATCACTAGGCAGGGGTTGCGACGATTGGGTTGGGATGTGGCAAAGCCTGGCGCGGGATGTGACATCAAGCAGGAGTTTGGGAGGAAAAGATTTGTCCGCGCTGGAGAAAAACAAGCACGGCTTTGAGAAATCTGCCACGGATTTTTAGAAGTTTGAGGGATTCACAATGGCCTTGGATGGGAATACTAGCAAACCACCTCAAGTGTATACGGAGCTTGGTAAGAATTTGAGAAAGTTGGTTCGTGATTAAGGCAGGGATCTGCAAAGATTTGGATAGGAATTGGGAACGCGTGGAAAGAAATTGAGACTTCAGAGGGATTTGAGAATGAGGAGTGCGTGAAGCAGGCTGGGATTTCCGAACATTGCTTAGGAATTTCAGCAATTTGAAGGATTGTGTCAGGGATGTCAGACCTTTGATGGAGGACCCGAGAGAACTGGCAAGGGAAGTGTGAACATGTGGATAGGCTGCGAGAAAATTGGGTAGCGATTTGAGACAAATTTGAAAAATGTAAATGATGTAAAAAAGGCTTACAGTGACTTTACGTAAGAGGATGAAGCGACAATGTGAGAACACGTGGGTCAGGATTTGAGAAGATGAAGGATGGAACTGAAAAACAGTCGGGATCCGAGAATGGCTAGGTAGGAAGGTAGGGATCCAAGAAAATCCGGGGTAAGAAGTACAGAAAAAGGGAAGGGATTCTGAAGGTTTTGGTTTGGTGGTGGCACGGCTCAGTCCACTGTTGGTGGGTTATGGGCTATTGAGCTACTGGCAGCTTCAGGCAGCGATTTGTGCTCCTTGCTCACTCTCAGCATTTCTCTTCTCCCTCCGCAAGTGTCCCCCAATTGAAATCACGAGCACTCGTGGTGTTTGGTAAGGTCTTGGGAATCTTCATCTTCATGCCCACACCACAGGCGCGGAAAACTGCGAAGTCCCTGGCTGCTCCGCCGGTGTGGTGACTGTCACTTCCATTTTCTTGCGCATTGTGAGTAGCTGATGGCTCATGGTTGGAAATCCAGCTGACAGCGCACTCCACCACAGAAAATGCAGCTGAGGCGCTGCTCTATGATGCTGATCTCTTCTCTCCTGCATGACTCATCTCCATCCCCATCATCATCAGCATCAATGGGCATACTCAACTCAGAAACTTGCGCGCAGTGTCCTGTGCGTTGCGAAAACAAGCTCTCCAGGATCCACCTAAAGAGCGCTTTTGGCAAAGCAGCATGTTGCGCTTCTCCTCTCTTTCGCGCTCTTCGGCTCAGGGTCCGGCAGCAAAGATCTCTGCTGAGAGGCCTGCGGTTTCCAGCATCGTTGCCCAACGCTGTGCGAGGCGGTCAGTGCCTTCTCTTCCTTAGTTTCAAAGTCTCACGCTAACTGCTCACTTCATACCTGCAGTAGCCTACTATATTTTGCTCCCAGGTGCCATTTTGCTCTGTCCACTCCTGGGGTCTCAAGCAGGCAGAAACACAAAAACAAACGTGAGATGGAAGACTTGCAGCTATGCATCCAGGGTCATAGCAGCAAACCTGAGCAACAACGAAGGTATTGAACATATTTTTCTTCTTGATCTTGGCAAATCTTTTTTGGATTAATGAAACGTCTTTCTGCCCAATGACCACCACAAAACTTGCGCAGAGTAACGACATCGATGCCGACCCGGATGATGTGGAGAAGGCTTCTGGATTGTGCTCAAAGTCTTCTGGGAAGAGCGGGACTCGATGTTTGCGTTCCTCAGACGGCTTCAGCCCTCTCCCTTGCTAAAACACCGCCATTGGGCCGAAATGCACGCTCTTCTCGCAAGTGCTGCAAGAAGGCAGCGGGAACCTCGAACAGCGGGGGTCTGAAAGCCGTGATTCTCTCCACCTCCAGCACTTTGATCCCAGGCTAGGCAGCAAGACATGCATGCCCAGATACGTCAGATTCCATGTCGCTGAGGTCGCCCACTTCGAGGTCTCGGATGTCGGCCGCCGGATCCTTTTCTCTTGCCCAGAGTACTTGCACAAAGTCCTGCGCACAAACCTATACGCAGGCCAAAGCTTCCACGATCTTGTAGTAGCGCAGCGGGCTTTCGTAGAGCGCCAGGGCAGGTGCCATGATCGCAGTAGAAACTCGCAACATGCTTCAGAACTAGCGTAGAAGCCAGGACAGCATAACAAGAGCCGCAGAATCACCCATGCGTGGTTGCTTGAGTGCACCTACAACCTGTTGTGCTGCTGAAGTAGGGGCTTGTCCTACTAGGCTTGTGGGAGACTTGCTTTGAAGTCTCAGCGAACGTCGTATGACAACTGTGCTCCTGCAAAGGCAGATAAAAGCAGCTGGACCTCCAGAACAGGCTAGCTTGTGTTGGCTGCGACAGATCTCTTATTCATGGATAGCTTTCGTCTGATCAAGCTAAAACGGACCATTTCCCGCCTTCCTGCATGACATGTTTTTTTTCAGAGGTCTTCTTAAGGATCCGCAGATTTAAATCTAAAGGCATGAGTGCTGTGAGATGCTGCCAAGAGGTGCGGCTCGCGTGAAGGTTCTGCAATTCAACCACATCCCTGCTACTCCAATGCTAAGTGCACGCCGGTGTGACAAACCATTCTTGAAATTCGCGAACATGACCCTCCAAGAGCATTATCACGCCTCATGCTTGTCCTAACACATACGAAACTCGCAAGCTATGTACAAGCCTTCCAGGCCAATACCCAGCGACTGTAAAGTGCTTTGCTTCAAGACTCGAAGCCCACGGCGAGGACCTCCCGACACCTGACGGCGAAGCATGTCTCTTTCACAGCCCAAAGAACTTGGGAGAGCATGGGCCAAAAAGATTTACTTGGAGGCTTGCGCGCAAACTGGGTCCTGGCTCGCTGCCTCCGATTAAGTGGAGTTGCTGTCAGGGGGCGACAAGTGCAGGGCAATGGCGAAGCAGCTGAGCATCAGAATCAGCCTGGGGTCCTACCGCTCTGCGCCTGGTCATCGGCTCCAACCCTGGAAGGGGTCGTCCGAGTTCGATGGTTGTGGCAGAGATCCTCGTCAGTTGCGACGGCTTCCACATACACATGACCTACACGCAACAAAGCCGCCCAGGTAGTGCCTTGTTGAAGAGCTGCCAGCCCTCCAGCAATAACGTGGCCAAGCGCAGAGTTGGACACCGCCAACAACGTAAAAACGTCCAGGTTTATACCTGCACGTCGGATTCCAGGCACAAACTGGAGGACAACTCGTATGGCCAAGTCGTCAAGGGTTCTAGTGCCTGGTGACTGTGAGAAGCCTCCAGATGTCGCCAAAACCTTAGAATACGTCGCAAATCAGGGTTCAAGCGGCTCAACCTCAGGCTGTTGGCCGAGTCCTTGACCTTCCCCACCATCAGACCAACCATGCTCTGCAAGCCGACCACAGCAAAGAGGGCACCCAGCCAAGCCGTCCGCTGACGTGCTCTGAGAGTTGTCTCAATGGCGACGAGGGAGGGCAGCCTCAGATGCTCTGTAGATTGACAGGAGGCTCAGGGCAGCTTGACCATAAAAGAACACAGCAAAGCTGCGTGGCGGCCATTTGCGCTGCTGGCGGAACCTGACTTCATCATACTTCATCCAGATACTGCAAGCACGACAGATTTTCTTTCATGAAGTCGAACATCAGATCTTGTGCAACTGAGACCTGCGGAGATCCGGACCTCGCAACAAGAAAACTCTGACAGCTTCGACTGCTTCGCAGCCCTCCTCGGAGTCAGTAACCAAATCAAGAGCGAATGTTGTGGAGAATGGACTCCGCAAAGAGGATGCCTAGTTCCCAGACATGAAATGCGCAATGGATCAACAAGATCGAAGTCTCCATGAATCAAGATCCTCAAGCCAACAAGGGCTGCAAGACGACTGCATCTTCTTGTCCCATGATCATAATCGGAGTGTGGAGTTCTTACTCTCTCAAGCTTGAGGTTATCAAGGATTTTGAGGGTCACTGAACCTCTGAGAGAGTATCTTGGATCATCTCTCCTTTCAGGGCACAAAGTGAACTTGAGTGACACAGAGTGCTTGATTACTGGCCCCAGTACAAGATGCACGGAACATGCTGCATCTCTTGAGACTTCCCGAGATTCTTGCAAAGACGTGTTTCACAAGATAGTGGATGAAGCGCCATGCCCATAAGCTCTGCGCAGTTCATGCCCCCGCAAAAGTCTGCAAGAATTTTCTATTGATCCTAACCGGTCACGAACCACGCATCAGCATTGGCTTGGCATCGTGCAAGCAGCTACTTGAATTTTGCGGAAGTGTGCGCTGAATGTCCTACCAGTGCCACCAATTGTCACCCTAGCAGATCGCCCGATTTCCTATACAGATGCTGCCGCCAAGCTTGTTCCGCTTGCCACCAAAATCGCTGAGTATGCGCATAGGCTTCGTCAGGGGAGGCCGTCCGCGGCAACTCACGAGAGTTGTGCCAGGTGTCATGCTGACCGGCTTCTGGATGCAGCAGACAGAGTACTCTTTCTGCGGCACTTGGTTGGAGCAATAAGGAAGGTGGGAGTCTCACAGCGCTGCATGGTCTGAAAGAGAGGCAGCTGCCGGAAAGGGTCCATGAGCCTATAGCGTCACTATAGAGTTTTTCCGCTGTTTTCCAGCCGGCCACCGGCCACCGGCCACCGGACACAGCCACCGGCGTTGGCGTCATGTTGTGGTCGTCACCGCCTCGTGTATTCCCGAGCACCTAAACCATAACAATGTTCATGCTCGATTGCATCCGATGACCAGGGCATCCATGCCCAAACCATTGTAAAGTTCTTGTTCGACTGCATCTGATGACCAAAGCATCCATGCCCAAACCATAAGAACGTTTTTGTTTGACTGCGTCCGATGACCAGAGCATCCATACCCAAACCATGATAATGTTCATGTTCGACTGCATCCGAGGGCCAGAGCATCCATGCCCAAACCATCATAACGTTCATTTTCGACTGCATCCGATGACCAGAGCATCCATGCCTAAACCATGATAATGTTCATGTTTGACTGCATCCGATGACCAGAGCATAGTAATGTTCATGTTCGATGACCAGGGCACATGCGCCCAAGCCACAATATTCGTAGTTGGAGAAGTCGTTGTCGTCGTCGTCTTCGTAGTCGTTGTCGTAGTTGTGGTAGTCGCATCGCCAAACGGAAGCTCCGCCGCACCGGCCACCGGCCACCCCACCCTCCACCGGCCACCGGCCACCGCCGCTAGCCACCGGCCACCCCACCCTCCACCGGACACCAGACACCGGCCCGGCCACCCGCCACCGACGGAATAAGTCTATCCCCCACTGCGTATCAACACATCTTTGCTGTGAAAGGTGCAGCCAATGGCGCTTCGATGGGCAATGCTTCCATATGCGGGTGAAGCCAACTCTCAACTAGAGGTGGCCTACGCAACAGGGAAGGATGTGTTGCGCAATGTGAGGGCCATCGGATCGACCATTTGAATGGCAAGTGGTGGGAGTAAATGAGCCTGTAGACAAAGCTGAGATGCGGTCTTCCTCTTGCTAGTGTGCTTGCTGCACATGGACAAGGGCGGTTAGTACCCATTTGGGGCACGTTTGGTGAGACATGCCGTGCCCCCATTTTAGCAATTCCTGGAGAAAAGTCCCAAAACCTCGCAATTTGGCCAGAGTGACTGGCCCATTTGGTTCCAGAGACCCGGCAGCAAGGCCGCATCGTCGGCCAAGAGTCCTTTGGATCAGCAGCTGGAGGCTGGTCCCGTGCGTCTTTGGTGTTTGACAGCCACATCAGCAGCTCCAGCAGCTCCAGCCTGCAGCTTCGGGCCTGAAACCAGCCGATCAGGGAGCATACCTTTGCTTGGCGCTGCCAGAAAGCCGCGAACATCACAGTGAGTATTTCATAGTGATAGTATCAGTGAGTACCTTATCTGGCCAAGCAGCGACAGACAGGCCCACCGAGGTCAGGCCCAAGCCCATGGCACTTTGAAAAATGCGTAGGCCTCCAAGGGAAAGCTCTCAAGGTGCACACCGTGGGGTCTCATTGGGCTTTGGCAGTCCCAGAACAGGAGTGCAAAAATGTGCAAGAAGAATGCAGCTGCCAAGCCTCCTTGGGAATATGCAGCAAAGCTAGCAACAGACAGCGAAATCAGTCCCAACCACGTGTACACGATCTCTGCCTGGGCTGCTTGTTTGCTGAATCTTGCGCTGTAACATGGATGCCCAGGCAGGTGCAACGATAGGTCTAGCTACAGACCGGAAAACTCCAGTCTCTTTTGAAGTCATGGCACCGCATAGCCCCAACGCCGCAGAGTAGTCTCTGCAGCAGTCAGGCGCTGCACCTGTGACAGCCCATCAACAACAGGCAGGCAAGTCGATGTGTGGAGCAAGTGCATTGAACTTTTCATGGCCAGGTGGCTACCAAGGCCACCCGAGCAGCATCTCCAGATTTTGGCGCAACTTCTTCGCTGCCAGTGTCCTCCGATGCATTTGCAACAATTCTGCCTGACGCCAACGAAACGAGACATTAACAACAAAAAGCACACATACGGCACGCGAACAGACAGATTTCTTTCAAGAGAACGCGGTCGACCATCCGTTCACAGCACACGTTTTGCAGGCACAGCCATGCTCGCAAATGAAGCTTCCCACCCATGTATCCGAAAGTCCATCGACGTGGGGTCCGGGCTCGGAGGAAATTCTCTCCCGCCTTTTCCAAAGAAAAATAGATGGGAAGGTGGCTTTGAGGGCGTCAGCTTTCAACGCTTACAGGCACAAGTCCTTGATTTGTTAACGGCTTCTGCCTTCTGCGAGAGCTTCGTAGATACTTTCAACAGTTCTACGCCAACTCGGGGGCGCGGTGGTCAGAGGAAGTGGTAGTCAAAAAACAACCAACACTACGACACCACATGCAGGAAATCGCCAGGTGCCAACGTAATTAGCAACGACAGCTTGCACTGTGCAGTGGGCCAGAGGCTTGTCGCACAAGTCTGGCAGCTTCCCGAACCGAATTCACTCCACCGGAATTTGTGACAATGAACTTGCAGCTGCCCACCCGAATCACACGAATTGCAGGTGCCAGGATGGCACCCAAGTCCGGTCAACATTGAACACGGGTTGTGCTGGTGGTCAGTGCAGCTTTTACTAGGGCAATACTTCATTCACTGTACCCTAGGCGAGACATCTTCTGTTCGCGCAGACTGAGCCATCAAACAAAAGCAGAAAGGACTCTGGTGAGTGGCTGAGCCAGATGTAACGTTTGCATCCGCGCGGTTTGAACTCTCTGCATTGACAGGAAAACTCTGCATGCTGTGACCTTGTTTAGAGCAATGTAGGTTGTATACTTCAACACTTCCCATTAAGTTTCTAGTCAAGCCTTAATATTTGGAAAACATGGGCTGGAACCCACAAAACGATCAGAGTAAGAAAAAAAGGACCAGCCAGGACCGTAAAAAAACGAATAAGAAGAAGACACGATGACCATCAATGACCCGACTTCGGTATGAAGAAAAGGTATGGATTTGTTGTACAGCAGCCCTGCATCCAAGACATTGCTCTTTGTCGCAAGTAATCAGTAGGCACGGCCTCTGTCACAGCTACTTGTAAGCATACTTAGGGAGACATTGCTCTCAAAATCTGACGTTCGTAAGGGACAGGAACGAAAAGCAAACTCCGCGCCACACTGGCTCAATGCTGCAGTCAAACATTTGCCGACATTGCGGACATCAACGGATGAGGGGTGCCTCTTTGCTTTCATAGCTTCTGGTTACAGTGCCCAGCACCGGATGCAAGCTCACATGTGCCCGGCACGAGTGAGATCTTCCCGGTCCTCTCTTGGATCTGCTGCCAAGGGAACCTTGTTCGGGAGAATCGTGCTACTAGTAGGGGAGCTTCCAGCTGGTGAGAGGTAATCATCGGGCGCCAGGGCTGGGTTAGAATGGCACATGTTGCCTCGCACAAGAGTGTTGCAGCCATCCATTTTTTTCATCTGCCATTAGTCCTTCCTAAATATTGCAACAGCCCAACTGACAAAGTGCCAAGCAAGAATTAAACATTGACTTGCAAGGCCTCAAACGCATGTTCAAGAAGTCTAGGCCTCCAACCCACTCCAACACACCTATACACTTGGCCGCGCAGTTTAGCTAGTGAACACCTCCCATGCCAAAATGCAAGTCTGAGACGCCGCCAAGGTAGACCTCGACGGACGGGCCAAGACGAAGCCGCCTGATTCCGTGATGGTGAAGACCGAGTGCAAACAGAAGTGAATAACAAAGCATGATCCCCTGCTCACTCCATATTGGCAGTCTCTACGTTATTGTATTGCACTGAGCACAATCATTGTTCAACGTGTTTCGTTGCGTGATTCACTGCGGTGGCATGAGATTGAGACTGTAAGGGTGTGAACAATTGGCAAAGGGGCACGGCCCTGGGCAAGCATGAATGAATGTGACGTTTTTTCACAAGCACTTTTTGGGCACTTTGCAGGTTGTAGATTCTACATTGTAGATCGTCAAGTTTGGCTTCTTCTGCCTCAGGAGTTCTTGCAGCTCGTGTTTCCCAGGTCCAAGATGCAGATGCCCAAGCGTATTTGGTGCTCAACATCAACTTTTTGACTGGCACACAAGCCCTCTGGAGGCAGCGTGCCAGGCCTAGCAGCCCCACGGCCAACGGAGCGTTGTAGTTGTAGCTCATCTGTGATGGCCCGTGAGCAACCGCAGCAGACATGAAGGCACTCTTCGCCCGCTGCACTGGCTGCACCTAAGCTGCAGAGCACAAAGTACGCCCACAAAGTTGAGAGCACCAAGGCAAACAAGCGAATCTCTCACGAATCTCTCAAAACCTCCTGAGTCTCACGGAAAGAGCAGATCATGAGCTGCCAGTCAAGCCAAGCTGCTTGCACAGATCTTCCCACTGATGTCACTGCAGGTTGCATGACTGCACGTCCTTTCAGCTCAAAGGCTTCAGGCTCATCCCTTGATCTAGGACTTTAGCAGCTTCAGCACGTGACAGGGGAAGAAGCAATGTGCATGTAGGAAGCTGTAAAATGTCCTTGCAAGGACCTTGGCTTGGTTTCAATCCCCTCCGATCACGCTTGAGCCGATAGACTGCCCCACTGGCAAAACGAGGAAATGCCGTCCAACCTGGATGGAGCACTCAAACGCAGCAGCATGGCCCTCAAGCAAGGCCAAACAGAGGGCCAGGCTTCACGCCCAGACTAGTCAAGCAGCGAAGATACTGACCTAGACGTGCGAGCCGACCCTGCATGCAAGATTGCGCAAGTTCATCCACAGCACACCTCACATCTGCCACATCCGTGCATAGAGCGCGCTGCGTCTCAAGCCTGCGGCGGAATTGGTATCTTCATCAGCATCGAATTCTGGAGACCTCAGACGCGTGCTGGCTGTTTCCTGCCGACCAATGTTCCCATCACGATTTCTGCAGGATAACATTGTGGCTGAGCACCTGGCGCAGCTTGGCCGTCTAAACTGGCAGCTAGTGAGGCGTTGTTGAAGTTGGCGATGTATCTGTCTGAGGACTTGAACTTCTTGGTTGCAGCTGCGGGTCGTAAAGAACTTCACGTGCTACTGCTTTGGGCACTGTGTCACAGCTTCTGACAACCAATCAGAACCGACCTAGCCAGCCTTCGCAGGCCATCAGGAGCATCACAGCAGAGGATGCTCTCGGGTAAAACCTGCATCTTTTTCCCATGTAGTGACTGGAGTAATGTCTATGAAACCTGAATCGATATTCACAAACTGTCACGGACGCCTGTGCATCATCCCGCACTCAGAAAATTGAATCCCCCGCGTTGCAATCGTTTCCGCCCAAAAATACGCCCTCTGCAATCATTTCTGGCCTCTCCGGATGAACTACCACTTGCCATCAACTCTCCACCAACAGGAATCCAGGACAGGAAAAATGATTGCAAGAACCCCTCCTCTGCAATTATTTCCCTGCCCGCTTCCCTCTACCCAAACACATCTCTCGGTTTGAGACAGAGCCGCTGTCTCCCTTAACAACATCAGGCAGGACAAGAAATCAAAAACCCCTTGTCTCGGTCTATGTTGTGAACTCCGAGACACGCCCGCAATCTTTGTGGAGGGGTTGAAAACAATCAAAGGGTTGTCGAACATGCAATCATGTTAGCCAAACATTTCCAGTGCTGGGATGATGCCTGTGCTATAGACATGCCATCCGGGAGGTCTTGCAGCTTGGACCTGTGCATGCTGACGCACATTGGTCAGAAATCTGGCCCTGCGCATGATGTATGTCTATGAGTCTATGAGCCTGTGATGCATTGGGGTCCTGACCACAAATGTGCCAGCAACGCCTCTGTGGCGCGTGCGCCTGGCAAACGACGAGGCGAGACTTCAAAACCGAGGTGAGAACAGCAGTCAAAAATCGCTGCTAGGTATAACTGCACTCGGGGTGCTGCCTCTGTTTCCTGCGACCTCAGACAGCCGATCGGAATGCATTTGAACTACATTGCTTTTTGGTCTGGGTTATTCTGGACCACTTCTCTCAGCCGTCACTTTTTGCGAGAAGCATTATGCCGTCTTCTGGCCCTGCTGGGGGCCGATCAGGTCTCTGATTGCTCGTATCATTTTCTGGTACTCATCAAGCAGCTCGTCCACCTCTCCAATTGAAAGGGCATCTGGTGATCGGTCGGAGAAGTTAAAGGTAACACCAGCATCCATCAGCCAAAGTGGCATATCATCTCCAGATTGGCCTTTCGCGTTGCCAGCCAGCTCGGCTGAAGCGAGACGTCGGGAGCTGCCGCCGATAGCTGTAAGGAATGCAGATGCCAAATCACCCAGCGCCTTACGCTCATCGGGGCTGATGCGTGATGGATGTCTGAAAGCTGCTGTGAACTCAAGATTGGAGTAAAGGTTTGGCGCCGACGCCTTCAAAATGAGCGTGACCAGAAGTTGTTCCCAGCTAGACTGTTGGCCACCACCCTTCGGTGTGCCAATGCTTTCAACGAGGCGGATTGCATTCACAAAGCAGCTCAGTTTGTCACGTGGAGCCCTGTATTGTTCCACCTTCTGGAGCTCCTGAGCTGCAGCGTCAAAGACCTCGATTTGTTTCGCGTCCAACTTGGAAAGTGTGGCTTGAATCGCAGCGGCGCCCTTGGCAGCTCCAACTCGCAGGGCCTGTTCCACCCGCTCATCTTCTCGGATATCCGCAGGATCGTGACGGTACAGCAATTTGTAGAGCTTAAGTACGACAAACTTTTCCAGGCCTTCGTTCGCGAGTTCCGACGCGTTGCCTCCGTTGCGGAAGGCATTGGCCTTTAAGAGGCTTGGTGTGACTTCTGCCAGAAAAGTATGGATCCGCCTTGCTGCTTGGAGACGAGTTAGATTTGCGGGAAACTGGTTGACGAAGTCCCGAACCTCATTGACGACTTCTTGTGCGGACGCGTCTTTGAACCGCTCCACGAATTGCGGATAACTGTAGCCGCTGTATCCAGCGTCAGACACTGGCAGCTTGATTTCGCTGGAATGGCTCTGGCTCGCATGCAGTGCAGTGGGCACCATGAAGTTGACCTCCGCCTCCGCCCGCTCCAAGCTCTCCAAATCTCTTGGTGAACCGTCTGCTAGATCTGGTGCATCCGGCAAATCTGGTGGCACCTCGGCATCCATGGACACGGGCGGGTTGGCTTCAAAGGCCAGGCTGACATCTGCAGGCTCAGCATCCATCTCTTTGATGTTGGCTGCCGCTGTTGCCTCGGCCTCACCTTCACCTTCCATGCCTTCCTCTCTCGGCTCACTTAAAGGCACATGTGCCTCAGCATTGGCCGTAGTATCTGGGATGTGCGCCATCCTGGATCCTGTGTGCACTGCTGGCTTATGCTGAGAAATTGTGTCTTCTGGCTGATTCGTGCTGGGCACAACTCTTCAAACAAGAGGTGCTGCGAGCCTTGAAAGCTTACTGGCCAAAACAACAGCACAAACTCACTTGCAGTCGTCACGTGAGACTACTTGAGCCATGGCTGGGGCTGATGCAAAAACATCAAGCTGACCGCCAGCAACCAAATGGCTTGCAACATCTTCGGGATGCCCAAGGTCAAGGCGTAGGAGTTGCAGATCAGCCAAGCGCAGCCGTGCTCAGTGCTGATCTCAGCCAAAAGTATTGTGGAAAATCGATGGCAATACGGCACGCAAATCTCAGGTCCCTGCTGTCTCCCTGGCAAGCGCAATCCAGCTGAAGTTGACGGAAACGACGGCCAATACCTGGACGTCGGAAGGGTTGCGTCCCTTGGAAGCAAGCACAACATGACACAGCAAACATTGAATGTATTCAACTCAGCCGGGATGTCTCCAGCGGTGAAGCGGGTAAGTAGGCTTGGAAACTGCAGCAGGACATCACCTCCTGAACTTCAAGAGCTTTCCAAGCTTGTTATGCGTGACTGGCTCATTGCTGCAAATGAGAAAGAGAACCAGCACACTGACGCTGCAAATTCACCGATGTTGCTTGTGCCAACAACTTTCGCACGACGTATGCTGCAACATTGTCAGTACCCTGATGTCCTGGAGCCACGGCAGCAAGAGCCTGCGAGATGGCCTGTGCCCCAACCCTTTCCATATGCAACCCCAGAACAGCTCCAACAGGCGATGCCTAACTTCCAGCAGAACACAGAGGCTGGGTAAACTCAACAACCAAATGACGGATAGCCCGCGAGTAATCCAGGCATATGAGAAAGCCAGTGCGAAGCAAGCGAAGTGAAAGCTGCAACTGTGCTGGTTTGCTTTCACCTGTCGGGTGTGAGCCTACCCGCTACCCTTTCAGCCCCAACTTGCGCATCTTTCCCGTAGGCACTTCTTGCTGAGGGTCTCGCCCCGATTGCGTCTCGACCTTCAACTTTGGCTCTCTCCAGCGACGCTCAGCCATGAATGAGACCAGCACTCCAGCAGGCTTGGTGCGCTCGTTTCCAAGGCTGGACTCCACAACTTTGCCAACTGAGTCCTCAGCGCCAAGTTGCTTGGCACTCCAGGCCGCCCTCAGACCAGAAAAAGAGTTTTCGTTGCAGCAACAACCACAGAACGATGCTTAGGCTCTCTTCTTTTTTTCGTTGTTGCGCATCTAGCCACCTACAATAGGCAACTTGAAGCATTTCAAGCCTGTGGCGCAACGGAGGCCCGCGCTGACCTACCTACACTTAGCTTCCCAATCGTCTGCACCACTTCGGACTCGTTTTGTGGCCACGAGCCTTTCGCGTCACGCTGCTCTATGTACATCGGGTGTTGAGGGCACCGAGCACCCTACAGTCCCTCTCGCTACTCGGCAGGCATTATTGATCGCAAATTCAAATCAAGTCTTCTCCGGAAAGCCGAGCCTGATGAAAAAAGGGGCATGACAAGGTCAGGACAAGACCACATGCATCACAAAGGCATGGCATTGCCTTTTTGAAAGTCAAGTTGCGGGTAAGCCCTCCAAAATGTTGGCCACGCGGGTCTCGATGGATTTTCGAACACGATTTCGTTTGTCCTTGTCCTGGCAGACGTACAATGCTCGCATGGCAGAAACGATGCCTGTTTATGCCTGCCACGATTGGGTCCAGTACCACGCTTCAACATGTGGAGTCGGTCAAACAACCAAAGGACAAACAAAAATCCCAAACCAAAGATTGTAATGGGGCTTCTGAGCATGGACCGAACCCTGAGTCCTTAGCAGCGTTCCCACTGTCCAAAGTGAAGCGGACCGGCCCTTGCTGCGAGCCTTAGGTTGTTGCTGCCCATCCTATATCCATTGGATGTAAGGCCCTCGTGGGGAGAAAAAAGGCAAGTGCCTTGACGCGAGCCATCCTGGGTGTCGCCGAGTGAGCTCAAGGTCTCACCTGGCCAGGCCAGGTTAAAAGAGGATCTGGCCGATGCTTGAAAGGCCTTCCGCCAGCTTCATTGCGGCACGTGTGGCCTTGAAGACCCGCTGGGCCTTTACAGCCGAAGACGACTGTCGGGCATGCTTGGTTGAGGTGCGCTTAGCAAGATCATATTCGAATCGCTTCGCCTTGAACGCACTTTTGGTAAAAGCCTCTGCGCTCTTGCGATTCAAAAGTTGCTGAGGCTTCGCTTTTTGGAGCGGACTCGGGGAGTTGAAAGGCAAATACACATCTGTGATTTTACATATACTGCGGTCTGAGGGCCCAGTGCAACAGGTGGCGGCACTTCCAAGCTCCACACAGCGGCGTTGTCGTTCACATGGTGGAAGCAGCGCGCTCCCACTTCCTGTGTTGCGGCCCATGCATCTATATGCACTTGCTGAGACGCCAAGAGTCAGTGCAAGGGCTAACAAGGCCTCTGGCGTCATTCCAGCAATCACCGCACCAAGACCCTGAACATCGTCTTGGCTCACCTTCCACGACCAGAAGCCACTGTCCTGTACGTATGATGCCCGCACTAAATGCAGCCAAACAGCCACTCGGACATTCGGGCCGCGCTTGCCTGAAGACTTCAAAACACTTAGCACTATCACTAGCGCAGAATGCAATTGGAAGCATGCCGCCAAAACACACTGCTTGAAGCAGCCGCTTGGCTCCACAATCCTGAGCCATGCTCCGAGACGGATAAAGCAAACAATTGATCAGCCTGTGGAGAAAGGAAAATCCAGCCTTGACTCTTGAGAATTGCTCTCCCGAAAAAGAGCTCTCTGGGTTTCTGAATTTGGCTTCTAAACCTTGATGTCAGGAAAACACCAACACACACATACACACAAACAAACACCGTTGGATTTCTCATGCCTTCTTTCTGTGACCCCTCCAGTGCAGGCTTACGACTCCCATATCGCTTCACAATTTTCTTCTTATCGCTCGTATCTGTTCATGAGCCTATTCGCCATCTTTCTTTTCCTATCTCCATTCTCATCTCTAGTCTCTCCTGAAAAGCTTTCTGTTATGAGGCTTGCACCATCGCGGAATTGCGACTCTGCTCCGTGTCCTCTTGGTTGCTTTCCTGTTGCCTTCTTCTGTCTGAGAATCTCTCTGCGCCTCTCTACTTAAGCACAATCAGATTTCACCATGGTCTTTTATACAAAATTCCTCCTGCCTGAAAATTTCTCACGCCAACCGGGTAGGGTGAAATTTCCTGCTGCCGAATTGTGTTTTTGGTCCGCTTCGAAGGCCTAAGCCTAAGCCTCTCACAAAGGTACATGATGACGCAGCTTTCTTGTGGGATGGTTAAAGGCAATTCTTCCAGACTCTGCCTAGTCTTGGCGAAGGGCCATTGCGGGCAAGATGCACCTCGCCCTCAGCAGTGTCCGTTCCGTGTGCCAACCGAAGATTTTGAAGACCGTCCAGTGTGTCGAAGCCTCTGGGCTTCAGAGCGACAACTACCAGGAACCTGTCCTATCTTGACATCTAATTTCCTGCGAAATGGAACACAGTATGTTCGAGCTGATGCTCCCATAGCCATTACCCACATGTAACGAGCAGCAGCCATGCGCAACATCTCGAATGAATTGCCCAGTCAACCTAGTATGATAGTGACTTATGTTGTGAGGGTGTGCGAGGGCACTGTGGGTCATCCTGGTGGACCCAATTTTTTGGCTGATGCCAGTAAGCGCGCAAGCATGTTTGCTCGCAGGGCCGCCATCGTTTACATCGGTGGCAGTAAACACGGAGCTTTCTTGCCGCGCCTTTTGAAACAACCTCTACGTTTGCTCCGCACGCTCCGCATCCTGCTTGACGGCTCCAGGTGGCAGTGGCTTTTGCCAAGTGCGGCTCTTCTTCTCCTGGAACATGGAGAATACTCGACCCGGAGTACATGGCATGACTGGGTTCGCCTGCTCCACGCTTCCAGGGTTTCTGGGTGCCAAATGCTCCGGAGCCATAGCCGGATCTTTGCATGGTCCTGGTGCATGATGTCGTGACTCACCAGATTTGCCTTCCCATTGTGCTGGATACGGTTGCAGGGATCCCCTAGGTTGGTTGTCGGGCTCAGGCCCCTCCTCATCACTGGATTCTGCAGCCTGCACATGGAAGTAGCCGCCATCTGGACACAGGAACCCGCCGGGTGGCGGGACAGCCTCTCCCGCGTCTTCCAACGTTCTCTCTTCCTCTGCAGGGAAATGGTTTCGGGATAAGTCCTCACCTTCACAGCTGGATCGGCTGCTTGTTTCACTCGGATGATTGTAGGGATTCCAGAAGGCATTTGAAGTAGAGCTTGACCTGGAAGCCAGAGAGGCTCCTGTCTGTGCTGTGGGGCGCATGGCTTCCGATGCTTCCGGATGGAACTTCGATCTGGTGAAACACTCCGGAACTTCTGCTCGACGAGTACGTGGGCTCAATGATGGCTGTTTGCTGAACCTATGATTGGGCCTCCTCAGGCACATGTCCTGATGCTTTCTCTAACATGCACGTGTTTCCCGGCCAGCGGGGAAGGTTCTGAACCGCTTTCCCTTCCTGGCTTGAAAACTTGCAGCAAGCAGCAGTCACTCAAACGCAGCTGGCACTACCCGCAAACAGGTGCTTGTACATTAGAACGTGGCTTACTCCCTTTGGCTTGCAAACTTCTGGCTACATCCATGGCAACTCATGTTGGTTGAAAGTTGAAACCAGTGGTCTCGACTTTGGCCTTGCTTCTTGATGCACTTGGTGCAGACTCGTAGACGCCAAGGGCGCCGTTCTTCCGCTGCTTCCTTGCCAGGTCTTGACGGCAGAAGAAACCAACCCGAAGCTCAGGTGCATTGCTTGATGCGGCGTCTGTTCTCAAAAAGAAGTTTGTGATGTTGAACCTGTTTAAGTACTGTGGTCCTCTTTAATGTGTTTTTGCACCCACTTCAAGGGTTTCAGGCAAATGTTTGAAGCTCACAAAATTCTGACCATCTGCCTGAAATCAATCCCCATAGTCCTCAGAATCGTGGGAGCCTTTCTGAATGGGTATCCCCGATTGACAAGGGGGGAGGGAGGCAAAGAGGAGGTCCGACATTATAGTTGCCTTCTTGTTCTGGATGTCCGCTTCCAAACAATGCCCAGGAAAGGGTGGGGAAAATGCAGAGCAAACAAACTTATCTCTGCAGTTGTTGTGCTGAGTTGCGTGATCTCACAAGTCAAGAAGGCTAGCATTCCGCAGTATAAAAGGGTGCGTGGACTGGATAGTGCACAAGTGTCCATTCGAGAACCTGGTCGGCCAAGGATGCTCGACCGAGGATGACAGAAGTGATCTGGACACATGGATTGCAAATGAGCTTTCGTGACTTCGTGTAAGCGCACCCAACAATACCAACGGCCGTGTCATGACAGAATGCCGTTTTCACGAATTCAGGCCCCGCAGCACGGATCATCCTAGGCATTTTTGTGTGCCTGAAAGAAAACGTGTTTGAACGCGTAGAATCCACCGACCATGGGAGCAGCATGCATCTTTTGGCCAGGAGGCATGTCTTTCTTGCGCCGCAAACTCGGCTGCGAGCTTCCTGAGTTGTGGCTAACTCGGTCACGGGGTCACCACCAAGAGAAAACGAAACAGAAAACGCTTACAGCGATGTGCCTCCATTCCTCGCTTACTCAGTTGCAGGCATCCTGTAGCCAAGGCTCAGATCTGAGAAGTTCAGACCTCTGCCGAACGGATTGCCACAAGTGCTTCCAATATGTCGGCATGATGCGCATTATGACTACGCGCGACCTTTTGGAACCCGCAAGGTCCACGTCAACAAAGTCAAGGCACAGAACGCCTTAGGCATGGTGGAAGACGCATAGCGCAAGGCCTCCACGAAGGAACACAGGGCGCCAGATAGGAAAGCATCAGAGAGTCTCGGGCCTCCTTTGCTCCTTCAGACCGAGCCTTCATCAGGAAGCTTTGGTAGACATCCTGGGCTTATTGACAAAGCTACGCCGTTCAGAGGCAGTGGGCTCAATCATTCGCCTTCAGCTTGTCCGCGAAGCATGCAAGATTTGAAACGAGCTTTTTGACCCCGTGACTACACACTTACCCTGACAGGCCTTGAGATGTCATGACTTCAGGGTACAAGGTTCTGGGGGCTTGCCCTCCGCACGCCTAGCCGCAGCACGATGCAAGACGCGCCCTGGATGCCTGACCACTGCACCAATTCCAGCAAGGAAGAAGCTGACGCATGCGCAAGCAGAATCGTCAAAACTCTAAGTTGCAATACAAGACGTGCATGAGGGTTCCACGAAATGCATAAGGTTTCACTGTCCAGCACTTGTCATGCCTTGGAGACAACGAAGTGAAAAGCCACTGCCCTAGAGCTGAGAAGGCCAAGACGATGCACAGCCTCCTGATCAAAAATGCATGACGAGTCTGCCCGCCGAAGGCTTCGCGAATGAAATGTATGTGTTGCAGAGAAGAGAGAGGAAGAGAGGTGTCATTCGTTCTCGCGTGCATGAACCTGTCCTGCCAGCCAAAAAGCTGAGCGACCAGTTGCGCATCACCTCATGGCTGTCAGAAAGCTGCATGTCTCGTCCGCATGCATCGTCAAAAGTCATGACTTTCCATGATGGGTCAACATCCGCTTCTACCTGGAAGCTGCCCAAAAGCAGGTGAAATATCGAGCACCCCATGTCTGGTAGGGCCTTCATTCGCTGTCAGCGACAAGCTCTGGCAAATCCATCACGAGGCAAGGAAACTCAGAATGTAAGGTACGCCCTCTCCTGGTTCCCCTCAACATTGGGCTATACCCATGGCAAGCATGGTATAGCTGAAAACCTTACCGTGACCTCAGAGGTCAGAAGGGCTTCCGTGGAAATGCGCAGGCTTCTCTGTCAATTTAACTTCTCTGTTGGCCCAACAGCTGCGGTATGCTGGGTGCAGCCTCACATGGCAAAGGCACGAAAATGGCGCATCGCCCGTATATGCGTGCGGGGCGTTGTGCCCGCGGCGCCAAGCAAGTTCGCCACATGTGATGTCACATGTGATGCTTGTACCCCCTGTGAAGCCGACAAGCTCGCAGTTGCCATGTCCATCCATGCAAAGCTCGACGAGCACCAAGTTTGACCGACCTCGGTTCGGCCAATCGGCTGACAACAGAAAGCAATGCCTGAGGCAAGCAATCTCAAAAGTTGCAGTGCAAGCTGGCCTCGTGCAATCTCTGCTTGGCCTCCGTCCTCAGTAAGATCGTGACTAGTGTCGCTAGCTGCTAGCGTTTTTGCCATACTCGATGCAAACGCAAACATCTGACCCGAGAACCACGCCTGCGGCACCTTCACCATACTGACCCTCAGTCTGCAAAGGTGGCCGCGGAACTTTGCCGCAACAATCCCGCAACTACAAATGCCAGGGAGCAAGGAAACACCCATTTCGTTTTGCAGCCACTTGAAGACTCTCTCAGCTCCATTCCGCATTGTGACAAAAAGACCTTAGCAGAGTTAACAGGCAGCGCAGGGATGAGTGATGCACTCTTATACAACCACGGAGCATTGCTGGCATACAAGTGCAGCACCTCCAGGGCCAAGTGGTGACAGGATTGGCGTGTCATTGCTGGTTTCCCGTAGGCTGCAGATGATACGTTACAATTCAGAACTCAATCCTGTGCATACTAGATGAAAGAGTCCTTCTGGGCCCCCGCATGATTCATTCTCGTTTCAATCGTATAACAGGGATGCTTGCAGCCCCACCTGCTTCGGAATTCAGTCGTTGAGGCAAGCACGACGTCAACAACTCGACGACAGCAGCCAGAAACCGTGGGGCTTCGCCAGGAATCCTGGGGCAGAGAAGAGTTAGTTTGAGGATGCTTTCTCCAGCGAATTTAATCCATCTCGCAGGTAACTCCCAGCAACTTTCTTCACCTTGCGAAACAAATTGAAAAATTGTACTGATGAAAGATATCAAACATATGTCTTCTTAATTGGCGCGTGCCAGCGCGTGAATCGTGCGTGCTTCAAAAATGGGCAAGCCTGGCAAGAGGCCAGCTTCCAGCAGCTTGCAGACCACATAAGTCACATAACACTTTCAGAGCAAGGCCACAGCGGAAGCCTTGCCAGGTTTAGATATAAGGACCATGCGCATAGTTCCTACCCCCTTCCGCTGGCATCTTTCCTCAGGTGCTGGATTTGGTTCGACCTCCGCTGAGGGTGGTCTAGATCTAAGGTTGCCGGAGAAGGGAGTAGTTCCCACCTGGCTAACCCCCTCTGAAGACGCACCCTCTGGAAGTTTGACATCCGTTATTGTTGCTAGAAGGTTTGGAGCGGGTTTGAGATGACTGCTGGTCCCCTCCCACCATGGCGGTCTAGCATTTTATCACACCCCCCAATCCGACCCCGCCTCCCAACTCCCCCCCAAAGTTCACCTTCCACCCACACACATGGTGGGTTCAAACTCCACTGCAGAGCGGATCAAAAGGAACGCGAGCCATCCTAGCTCGTAACGCGATTTCCTAATCCATGAAAAGTCAGCAAAGAGAGATGCGAGGAGACTGGTCAAATCCTTCCCTCTTGGCCTTTGGGTTTAACACCTTGTCTGAAAAAGGGACCCGTGGTCTCAGCGTAGCTACAGCGGAGCGGTCGCTTTAGCAGCACTGGCAAAGCATGCACGAGAAGTCACAAGGGCCTACCAAGAAAACGTCCCAGGAAGAGCCCAGAAATGCAAAGCATGGCTCATGGCCCCTGGAGGTCTTGATAGTGAGGTCCAACACCGATTGAGTCCCAGATGCTCAGCTTCTTCGCTTCTGCGTTCATGGAGTGCCATTCGCGCTGAGATTGCTGCGTGGAGCTTCAGGGAGTCTGCAAAAGATGATTGCACCAGCCTCTGATGCGCACTGCGTGGGAGGGATGAGGTTTGCTTTGTTGCGATGGTTTCTGCGTTTTGTTTCTCTCCTGTTCTGTTTTCATCCCTAATGCAATTCGAAGACTAGAAATTTGTTAGTTTTCCTTGCATGAACCAGGGGCATCCATGGCGGGAGAAGGCGGATCTCCTCTCACCGCAAGCTTTGCAACTTTACCACATGGTCTCAGCTGATGCCCGGGGCCTTGCACCAGAGCTTAGAGGCCATGATCACGGCATCGGCAGATGTTTCCAAGGTCTGCAGCAGCATGCGGTCAGATTCGCCTGACGAGCAAGTAGTTCGCAAACGCAATGACTCCCTGGCGTGAGCACAGCTGAACGTGCGCAGTCAGTAAGGCAGCCATTAACCCACACACAGCTTCCCAACAAGAAAGGCTTTCGGGAGGATGAACATTCTTAGAGAACTGCCACCAGGAGGAACTCTAATCGCAGAAGAGGAGTTTGGGCTGCCTGCCGGATATCAACATCATTGGGGACGTCGAAAATCAGAAGATTCATCTGACTTTGACTGGCTGTTGAGGTTACCGCGGCGCCCCGGCAAACAACGCTGCTGCATTGTGCTGAAACCAACTGCAGGCAAGGTACGACCTCGCATCAGTTGCCGCCATCCTCAAAGCAAATTGCGTTGTTGCTGTAACCGCCTTGCAAATTAAGTTGAGCACAGGCTCCACTGCAATGACTTCTGCCAAGCCGAGAAAATGCCGGACGGATGCGAGGACGCTTTTCGGGCGCCTCCCGGGACGTATTTCTGGGCCAGTGCACACAACCAATACCTGGTTTTTCTCCGAATGCTTAGCGTGCAGTGTCGGTGACTGTGCTATGCCACAGATTGTTCCATTTCGAGTCCCATACATCTCGTGGCCTCCATGCACCAGAGTCGCTTCCGACGCGAAGCCAATACAGCAAAGTCCGGTTGTGCTTGTCTTGCGCCTGTGAGTCAAAAGACACCGGGTCAAATCGCTCACCGGCTTGATTTGTGGAACACATCATTTGTGGAACCCTCAAACTCAAAACTGCGGCTAGCCGTGCCCTGAGTGTCTGACAGCTTTCAGCTTGCGGCTCTGGCGGGCTTCGGAGCAACGACTCATGGCAATGGCCCCACAGCAGATGGAACTGCATTGGCAGCTTAGCGAGATTCCTGGCGCAGGTTCCCAACATGGACTCGGGACAACAGGAGCCTATAAACTTGGATGGAAAGGCAGCTCCCTCAAGTCCAGGTCCTGCTAGCCGATGTCTCCCTTCGGAGCTGCTTCCAATCTTCCAGCTGCCCTGAAAGGCACAGCGAAAGGATTTTCCAAAGCCAGGACTGCCGCGCCTGTGAAGTTAGCATCACTCGCCAGGCCATCCAAGAGACTTTCGGACTGCTTGCCCGAGAGCTCCCTACCTGAGAAAGAACAGTGCTTAAAAGCAAGTCACTCCTGCCTCACCAGCTACTGAATTCTCCCCCTGCCGAATTTGTTCGAGGAGTTATGCAGATTGCTGGACGATTGGTAGATCTCCGTGAACGCCTTTCAATTTGGTAGGGTCGTGCAACATCCATGCTTGCTTTTTCGGTCTGGGCAAGTGGACATCCTGTTGCGGCATGACAAGTGTGCTACGTCCATGAACCATTTGAGCTGTCCCAGGCATTCAAAGACTGCAGCGCGCAGGGACGCCCTTCAAAACTGGAACCCTGGAACCGCACATGGCTCAGTTTTAACTAAAACCCTCAGCGTTGCCTTTGGACTATTGCTGACAAGAGGGCTCACCACTGCGCAAAGGGCTTGCAGCAGAGCCGGCCCTATGCCACAGAACTGCCAGCCCACCACGAAGACCTCCAACGAGTTGTAAAAAAGCTTCAGCAACGGCACTGCTGTTGCTTTTTGGGCAAGTTATCTGCAAAAAGAAGCTGGCCAAAGGGAAGCAAAGCCTGCGACAAAAGTCACGGCCTCCTGCTCGGTGGCGCTCAGTGACACGGCCACGAGCTCTGCACGCTCAAAGAGATGTCGCACCTTTTGGCACAAACCCGCTGTGACAAAGTGTTTTCGCTCAAGTCCTTTCGAGAAGGCAAAGCAGCGGACAAATGCCGCCAGCGTTCTCCCCCTCTGCGGAATGTGCGCTATGAGGCATCCACCAACGCGCAGACTTCCTACCGAGAAGGGGTGGCTGGAAAGCATTGATAGCGACGACTGACAATCCCAAAACAGAGCTCTTGCCTAAAGCCGCCACCAAATTTGCCAAAGAAGCCTGGCACGCTGCTTGTGGAATCAGATGTGGTGAGCTACATGTAGCAAACTACAAGGGAACTTGTCTTATGCTGTATGGCCTAAAGCAAACGAACAGCATTCATTGGCAAGCTTGGAGAGATTCGAAATCTGCGACTGCAGTTGCAGCAGCAGCAGCAGCAGCAGCCGCCACCACAAACAGTAATGATACTTCTTCTACCACTACCAGGAGGTACTGCGACCGTTGCGATTTATGCTTCCACCAAACCTTCCAGGACCGTGATAGACTATGGCGATGATCTGACGTCAAGCTACAGCTGCGATTCATGGTGGCAACGGAGGCAACCATGAGAGACAGCACGGACGAGATTACGTCATCCACTCGATGACCGTGACCATATCGAAATTTCAACGGTCGCACAAGCTGCAATGATGGCCACCGAATGCCACCGCCACCATCACCACCACCA